ATTGTGTAAAGCTATTACTTAATGTCCACCAGACCTAGGTGGTGTCTCCTTGTGGAATTTACCGTAAATCAGGAGACTAGCATGAGGACTGTTATTACTGCTAGTCCTTGAAAGTGGCCAAGGGAGATATCTGATTCCAGAGAAAACCTTTCCTGAGGCTGTTCTCCAAATGCCTGGAATGTGTATGTCCAGAGAGTGATCAGTCCACACTGTTAGCCCTCCTTAGGGAAAAGTCAATTGGGAAAACTATGAAGGCACACATGATTTTCATAACAGAAGACAGCTGATATATAACAAGCCAAGTAACACCAAAAACTCCTTGGGATTTGGCTTCCTCTGGAGAAATTCCCTGATTCCTCTAGGTAGTGACTTTGTCATAACCAGCTGAGTTCTTATGATATATTCCTGCGGCCTGCAGCACAAAAGACCATTCCATCTTTCTACCAAGCGAGCTGCTTCTGGGGAACAAGGTAAGAACAGTGGCTTCCATGATTGTGGACCCACTGACAGGCTTCTCTGGATATGAAGTGAGTTGCCTGGTCAAAAGCAATAGTGCGTAGAATACTATGTCAGTGGATGAGACATTCTGTAAATCCATCAATGGTGGTTTTGGCAGAAGTATTACCTGTGGGGAAGGCAAATCCCTAACCAGAATAAGTAACTACTTAGTAAGGACAAAGAGTTTTCCTTTCCATGGAGGAAGTGGTCCAATGTAGTCACACTGCCAATATTGCTGGTTGGTCACCCCAGGGAATGGTGCCATATCTGCAGCTCAGTGTTGGTCTCTGCTATTGACTGATCTGGCACTCGGTATCTGTAGCCAGGTCAGCCATGGTGAGTGGATGCCCATGTTGTTGAACCCATGAAGAACCCCCATCTTCTCCAATATGGCCACTTTGTTCATGGGCCCATTGGGCAATGACATGAATGGCTGGGAAAAGAGGCTGACTATCCACAGACAGAGTCACCCTATCTTCCTGATTGTTGAACTCCTTCTCAGCTGGAGTCACCTTTTGGTGAGCATTTATATGGGATACAAGTATCTGTATACTCTTTGCCCATTTGGAGAGATTTATCTGCATACTTCTTCCCCAGATATATTTTCTCACTAATTTTTCAGTCATGCTCTTTCTAAGTCCCTGACCATCCAGCCAATCCACTGTCTACAGCCCATCAATCAGTGATCAGTTGCGCATTTGGCCACTCCTGCTTCCAAACAAACTGTCTGACCATGTGTACTGCCCAAACTTCTGCCCACTGTGATGATTTCCCTTCACCAGTATCTTTCAGGGTTGTCCCAGAATGGGGTTGTAATGCTGCAGCTGTCCACTTGTGGGTGGTGCCTGCATGGTGGACAGGACCATCAGTAAAGCCAGCCCGCATCATCTCTTCCTCAGTCCAGCAATCATCAGGAACACTCCATGAAACTGTAGGTACATGTTTGGCAGAAGAAGGTATTATAGCAGGAGAAGAAACCGTAGGCATTCGGCAACTTCTTCATGGAGCTTGCTCGTGCCTTCAGGACCTGCTTCGGCCTGATCTCTTACATACCACTATCATTTGATAACAGTTGCTGCCGTGTATGGCCAACTTTATGACTTGGAGGGTCTGATAACACCCAGCTCATGATGGGCTGTTCAGGTGGCATGGTAACTTGGTGGCCCATTGTCAAATGTTCAGTTTCTCCCAGTGGCTGGGAGTAATGACATGTGTTCACATGCTTGGTCTTATTTACTTTTGAAAATGATTCTTTGGGCACCAGTGGCAGACACTTGAACTGTCTTTAAGAAGTATTGTATTGTCCCAATTCTCCAGTGCTCCTTTTCTTTGTATATTATTTAGTTTTGTTCTTATCCTCTGTGTGTGTGTGTGTGTGTGTGTGTGTGTCTGTCTGTCTGTCTGTGTCTGTGTCTGTGTGTGTATAGACTATTTAGCATAGACTCTAAAAGTCACAGTGACCTTCCTACCATCTGTGCCCATATTTCTGGTACTAAAAGAATGCACTATCACACACAGCTTGAAAAATACTTTTTATGGTGTAAGTCTCCTCTTCTTAGGGGGCCAGGGAGGCCAGACAATGATGTCAGAGCCCTGATACTAGAGTTACAGATAGTAGTGAGCTCCTATATGTGCTGGAAATAGAAGCTAGATGCCCTGAAAGAATCTTCAGTGCTCATAACTGCTAAGGTATTTTCCAATCTAAGTGTTCTGTTTTTGATTCTGCTTCCTGTCCGAGCAAGATCGGACACCAATGCTCCTTAAAAAGTGGAATTCTCTTCTAGTTGAGAGAATTAGCCTCAGCCAGGGAAGACCTCCCGAATTGATTATCCAGTGCAATGTGCTCAGCCCATTATCCATAGATGTACAACAGAAATGTATACAACACAAATGGACACATAGGTTGTATTCATGTATTCAGCATACTGATTTACCCATACTTAAAAAAAAAGAAGTTGGAAGGTATTGGGGAAGGGATGGAATGAAGAGACAAAAGGGGACAGTGATGTAGTATCTTTTAATGAACCATTTAATGAAATAAATTTTAAATAAAAAACAGAGGTTAGATAGATGGCTCAGCAATTGAGAGAATTGGGTGTTGTTACAGAGGACACAGGTTCCATTCCCAGAAACCACATTGTAGCAATAAGGCCTGCGCTGCCACCACCCATTCACCATGTCCCAGCGAGGGGCTGTGGATCAAAAAACAGAGACAAAGACAGCCGAATGCCATTTACTGAAAGAGGGAGGAAACCTTAAATACAGGCTTACAGCACAATGGGAGAACCCCAGAGGACAGAAGCTGGCTACTGAATGTTCTACATTCTTGCATCTAAGCTGTTAACGCCCAATATGCAGGATACACAAACAAGGAACTTCCCTTAAGCCTTCAGGAGGGTGGATACCTGCAGGGAATTAGCATAGGGAGGACATCTGGTCAAGGTCAGCAAGCAGGCAAACAGTTTACTCAAATATGGGGAGCCAGGGCCCTACACCACATGGTAGCTAACCATTTGCTGTAACTCCAGTCCCAGGCATCTCCTGCATTCTTCTGGCCCCTGTCGGCATTGTGCACATGTTATGCCCAGATCGCGTCCCCAAAGAGGCCACCGGAGACTTTAGGTACAGAATGCAAAAGCAAGGTTTATTTCTGTTTACAAGCCGCGGGCAGGGAAGCTCGATCCAAAGCACTCAATCGTAGTAGCAGTGAGGCCAGGAGGAGCTTGCTTTTTCTTTGTGTGGCTAGCTTTTTAAAGACAAAATCCACAAGCCCTTCCGAGGGTTTGGGGGGGGGGGGTTTGCACTGGTGCAACTCGGATTGGTTTATTTTTTATCTCTGTTCTCTTTTAATTGGGTGAGGGTATGTAACCTTTGAATTTACTGGTTGGTGGTTACAATTTATCACTTTGGGGGGCAGTCCAGCACAAGTCCCCAGGCTTTGTCCTTGAGTCACCATGGGGGCTGGCTGGCCAAGCACGTACTGCACATAACTTTAAGTTGGTGAGGGGCCCCAGACAGTAAACATCTGGCTGAACTTTGAGCAGTCAGAGTGCGTGCAGAAAGGGAGCTACTGCAAGGACTATGTCTTTTGGTCATGACCTTCCCAGAAACTGCTTGCTCAAGTCTCAGGAAACTGAAATTGAGGCCTGATCTCTGAGAGAAGACTGAGCAGCCTTTTATGGCATCTGCTTGGTCCTTTCACATAGACACATACGGGCAAAACACCATATATCTAGCATATATCTAGTTTTTGTTTTTTTCTTTAAGTTAGAAAAAGGGAATAATGGGCTGGGCAGTGGTGGCACATGCCTTTAATCCCAGCCCTGGTGGCGGGCAGGGGAGGGGGGCGGGAATAATCAGTGGCAGGGAAGAGCCAGGAGGATCTCTGTGAGCTCAAGGCTCAGCCTGTTCTACAGAGTGAGATGCAGGACAGGCACCAAAACTACACAGAGAAAACCCTGTCTCAAAACAAACAAACAAACAAAAAAAAAAAAACCCCAAAAAAAAACAAAAAAGGAAAGAAAGAATTCTCTACAGTGATGTCACAGGCCTGAGACAGACAGCAGCCAGGGCTAGTTAAAATGAACTCCTTCTGGTCTTTCAGGGAAGCAGCTGCGGCCTTCTCCTGAGCCAGCCTGCTCAGAGGCAAAAGCCGCTTTGTTCTGAGGTTAATAGAGCTCATCATAACCGTGTCATCTAAGAGCAGAGTATGCAGTGCTGTTAGGTGAACTTTCCTGGATGTTTTTCTCTATTTGTGTTCTGTCTTTTGTACCTGTGAGAACTGTAGCATTGGTGCAGTTATCTTTTAGATCTAACATCAAGAGTGACAGGCACCATGGGCTCCAAAGCAGTCGTCTAGCTTCACAGCGTCACCTGCTTGACTTTCAGCTAAGGACCTTTGTGGTACAAGATGAACTTGCCAGAGGCATTTTTTTCCATCATTCTTATAATTTATGTATGTTCTTACATGGCTTTGAGGTAAGAATGTCCCTGAATGTCTCTGCTTTTACATTGTGATCATGTTCAGAAGTGGATTTGTTGACTGAGCATGCTTATAAATACTCAGAATTCTACATGAACATGTTCATACTACCTAAGTAAAACCCACATGCTTCCTTTGTTTAGGAAAGGCATTGTGTTGAAAATAACTCCCATGCTCTCTTTGCCTCCTTCAAGTAAGAAATCTTTCTAATTTTTTCTTTTGTTGGCTGTGGTGATGGCTATTCTTGGTAGTCAAACTGACTACCTCTGGAATTAAGTAAAACCCAAAGACTTGGGTACATCTGTGAAGAATGTTTCTTAAAGGTTTTTGAAAGACTAAACTGCATCATATGAGGTGATAAGATCCTCGTTTTAGCTGCTTGGTGGCAGTGCACATCATTAGCCACAGCACTGAGGGGACTGAGGCAGTTGGATTTTCTGAGTTTGAGGTCAGCCTGGTCTACAGAATGAGTTTCCCAGGGCTACACAGATAAACCGTGTCTCAAAAAACACCAAAAAAACCAATCAAACAAACAATAAGATCCACCTTTAATCTGGACCGCACCATTTGGCAGCAGCTGACATATATAAAGGATATTGAAAGAAGGAAGCCTTCTTTGCCTGCTTGGCCTAGCTCTGGCTACCAAGTTCACTCCTTTACTAGCATTAGAACTTACTTTTTGGTAATTTTGTTGTATACTGAAGACCAGCTAAGACATCCAGTCAAAGGGACTGAACAACTTCAAATTTCCATTGGTAGACAGCCACTGTTGGAGTAGCTGGGCCACAGCTTGTGAGACAGTCCAATAATTTGACTTTATACATACATGTAGAGATTCATTCTAACTGGTCATGTTCATGTAGAGAACCTTGAATAATGTAGCTGTTTTTTTTCTTTTTAACCTGCCCACTGAGGAAGATGTGCTGGCTAACAATAGTGCTCATAAAGACATTCTTCCTGGCTCCATTATTCTCTAAGTATTCAACTTTCCATGAAGACTACTCTTTTTATTACTCATTTGCCAACAGTTTGCTCTGAATTTCAGGAATAAAACACCTAAATTAATGGAGCCATCATCCAGCCTTCTGATGGGAGAAAGATCTATTATCTTGTTTGTGATCTAGTTCCTGCTTTTCTTTCCTGGTTGTCTGAAGTCCCTGTGTCAACCAGGTAAAAAATACCTTCAGTTCACCTGACCCCAGTGTGAAACCACAGAACAAACATCTCCTTTTGTGTCCTTAAATCCCTCTTTATTTGTTAATATTTCAGGCACCCTTCTAACTGAGTGATAGGGAATCACTCCACCCACATAGTATGGAGGGCTGTACAATCTAGGTAGCCACATTGTGTCCAGGAGGAAGAAGGGGAAGTGCCTGTGCAGAGCAGGAAGATAGCAGGGTCTGCTATTAGAGCCAGAGGCAAGTGCTATTGAAATGCATATGTCTGCTGTTGTAGAAAAGGTATTTGTCTGAGGCGGAAGGCAAGGCCAGGAACCATTGTGCTGTGTCTTTCAGCACATAGTAACCCTATGGGAGGTGCTCTTGTCACTCAGAACTCACTAGCCAATCAGGCCCTCCAGGCGACCTGCCAGTCATAAGTTGTGTAGGGCACTTCCGGGCTACAGGCTTCCGGAAATGCTTTGAAGAGGAGCTGGCGGGAGAGGTCTTGTGTGCTGTGCTGTGAGTGCTGCTGCAGGGAGCTGAGCAGAGAGCATGGGAAACCAGGACCAGGTGAGCGAGGCTCTGCTGTCTCCAGATGGGGAGGTTGCAGGGGCCAGTGTGGTGGGTCCCTCCCCCAGTTCTGGGTGGGAACCGGCAGCCAGATTCCCTTGTGCTCTGAGATCCCATGAGGTTCTTGCAATGCCCTGGACGCATCGGCAGGCCTCTGAGTAACTTTGCACTGTGGACTGCATCTTCACAGATCATTGGGAGCAGGCAGCTGTGTGTAGAACGATCATTGTAGGGAACTTTAACGTGCTTTTGGTGCATTCATGGAAAGCAGGCTGCCAAATTCATTGAGGCAAAGTTTCTCCAGTAGCTTCCAGACCTTCAGCACTTTGCATTTTACCTTTATGTGTAAGACCATTTCTAGTTAGTTGTTTCTGCAAAAGTGTAAAAGGCATCTCAAATGTTGGGTAGCACTGCACTACTAAGCTGTCATGTAGAAGAGTAGAATTGGTGATATAAAGCATTTACCAATGTTTAGGGGGTAGTAATTACTCAAAGTAGAATTTAGCTGAGGGAGGACTGCCTCTGAAACACCCCAAAGATAAGTATATGATATCCAGGCCTGTTAGAGATTAAGATGCTAGGATACACAATGCTCATCAGGATTGTCCAGACATTTGGCTCCAAATCATTACAGAAGAGCCACCCCTATTTTACAACCAGCCACTGGGCCCATCCCCACATCAAAGAACAGGCCTCTAACAAGCTGTTGAAGGAGGCATTATAAGGCCATAGCCAACCTTAAGGCATGGTGTACCACAAAATTCCAGTTTTCTTCCTGAGAAAAGCATAGTTCTAGCAAATGGGCAATATGAACCCACGTGGCAACTCTGAATGTAAAGCAGTGTTGTTTATCTGATCAAGCAAGGCTTTCCTTTAGGCCTTCAGGCAGGGAGGGGGAACATTCTTGAGAGAGCTAGTTATGGCCTGGGGCCTAGGCCTTGAGAGCTTTCCCTAAGATCCTGATATATTCACAGTAAAACAGCTGCTTCTCTAAAACCAGGGATGTGTTTGGACGAGCTGGTAATGGTCTGGGCCCATTCTTTGTGGAGAGCTTGCTTCAGATCCTGAGAGCCCAGCACTTCCCTCTATCTACATGGAGCTATGGTTATCAGCCCCAAGACAACTGTGGGCTTAGTAACATTCTTGAGATACCCTGTGTTCCCCTTATGCAGCATTGTCTGATTAGCCTTTTCCCTGGGTTTGTCCCATTGTATTACAGTTTCTGCAGACTTCATACATGTTTCCCATTGCCTTCCATTTCCCCCTGGATATAGGATACAGTATGATACTATTGTTCTTTTTTGTTTGTTTGTTTGTTTTTTCAAGACAGGGTTTCTCTGTGTAGCTTTGCGCCTTTCCTGGTACTCACTTTGGAGACCAGGCTGGCCTCGAACTCACAGAGATCCGCCTGCCTCTGCCTCCCCAGTGCTGGGATTAAAGGCGTGAGCCACCACTGCCCGGCCGATACTATTGTTCTTAACATGCTTACTAGGCATAAGACATAGCTTGTGCAGGATCTCCCCACCACAACTTTTACCTTTTCTACCTTCTACTTTTTCTATCTTTCTCTTCCCTGGCACCTCCACCTCAGGACACTGTCACTGAAGAAGGGTCTGCTGTTTCAAGTCACTGGTGTACTCAAGAAATAATTCTGGGAACATCTTTGCTGTGTAACTCTCCCATCTGTCTAAGTAGCTAGACTTTTACAAGTTGCCCGTCTCTTTTAGATTGTTCAAAGTTAACCTGAAGCATGAACCTAAAAGACACTTGAGGATGACAGCATGTGTGGAAAGCATTATATGTCTAGGCTGTTTCCTCTTTGAGCATTACCCAGAGATGGAGGCATACAATGCTTAAAGAGATTTTTCTTTATTATTTTCCTAAGTGTGTGGAGTGATTTACTCTTGGGAAGGGATGTTAATTCTACAACAGCTGCATTTCCATCCCGTTAGAAAAGTGTTTCTGAGACAAGCTCTCTTGTGTTGACTCAGGTGGCATTGATTCCATTCTGTTGATTTTGCAGGGCAGTGATCTTCTGTCTTCTATACTACACCTTCAAAATTATTAAATTAAATGACTGTACCTGCCCAGAGTTCTAAAATTACCCATTTGAGTCAATTAGTCGACCATCCAATGCAGTCACAGGAGAAGGATCCACATGTGGAACATTGCTTCTGTCTTCAGACCAAATAGGAGGAATAGGTTCTTGGGTACACCTCAGGGGAAACAGGGTGGGCAATCAGCTGCTGCAGTCACCATTATGGAAAAGGATCTGATTGTGGAAGTGGGAGTGATTTTGTAATTTCCCAGCATGTTTTAATTCATCTCATGTGAATGAACACAGACCAGATTGTGTAGGTGTACAGTTTGGGAAGGTTATCTTGAGCCAATGAATATTGAATTTGCAACTAGGAAACTCTCTTATGCAGATATGGTCAGTTCTGCTTGACACAGTAATGCAGGCTCAGAGATTTGAGAAACAGGCCTTTGACTGTAACTGTGTGTCAGGTAACAGAATTCAGCAGCCAACATGTGCACATGGATAGGATCAATCTATCTCTTATTAATGGCATTCTCTCTACTAGGAGAAGGCCTACTCTTCTTCAAAGTCAAGATAGCTAAGGGTTTTTTTTTGGGGGGGGGGGAGTTCAAGACAGGGTTTCTCTGTGTAGCTTTGTACCTTTCCTGAAACTCACTTGGTTTCAGGACTGGCCTCAAACTCACAGAGATCCAGTGAGGTGTGTACCACCACCGCCTGGCTTTTTATGTATACAGTATTCTGCCTGCATGTGTACCTGCAGGTCAGAAGAGGGCACCAGATCTCATTACAAGTGGTTGTGAGCCACCATGTGGTTGCTGGGAATTGAACTCAGGACCTCTGGAAGAGCAGTCTCTGCTCTTAACCACTGAGCCATCTCTCCAACCCAACCTTTTTTTTTTTTTTCTTTTCTTTTGGTTTTTCGAGACAGGATTTCTCGGTATAGCTTTGCGCCTTTCCTGGAACTCACCCTGTAGCCCAGGCTGGCCTCGAACTCACAGGGATCCGCCTGCCTCTACCTCTCGAGTGCTGGGATTATAGGCGAGTGCCACCACTGCCCGGCTGCTAAGTATTTTTTTAATCTCTAATATACATTATTTTTATCATTTTGATATCTTATTGCTTTAAATGTTAAATGTCAATATTTTTTAAATATTTTCTTCAAGTGCATTACTGCTCTTTTCTCTATTGATTTCTGATCCCCACTGTTTCTAGGCCTAATGTTTAATTTTGTCCTTTTTTCTCAAGGGCTCTTGATTATTTATTTTTGTGTACAGCAATGTCTCCTATATAGCCCAGGCGTCCTTCATAATGTATTATTGAGAAGTGCTTTGAACACCTAATCCTGCCTCTGCTGCCCAGGGCTTGGAAGACAGTTCTTTAGCTCTTTCCATTCTGAGCCTTGGCTGTTCAGTGAGAAAAAAAAATAGACCAGTTAATGAGTGACTGCCAATCTCCCTGCTTTTAGAGGGGACTTATAAATGAAGAGGTACCTGTGCAAGAATTGAGTTCATAAACCAACCTTGAAATTGGTAAGAGTCACAGTGCAGAAAGGGAGAGGCAGGACAGAGGCTGAGGGCTTTCCTATTTCAATAGTAGTTGAGATTAGCAATGTGGAGTTAAGTAATCAATTCTAGATACTCCATAATATCCTGATTGGCCATTTCTTGGGGTCCACAGATCAGGGCAATCTAGAATCTGGATAAAGGACTGATCTTATCATGAAACCAAATTGCTATAGTTATATTAGTTCAACCAAAATGGAAGATCCGTGTAAAATGTTGTGGCCCTGCCTAACAGGACTGTTAATTTTCTAGTTTAAGATGTTCATCCTGAGAGAAGAGGTGTGAGAAATCTTTGATGAGCTCTAAAACAAATCCCTAGTCTCTGGAGCACATGGCCATAAACCCTGTTTCAATTTTTCAAAATGATTTTTTGAGATTATCACTACATCATATCCACATTCTGTTTCCTGCCACCAAGCCCTACCATGACCCCTCATTGTTTTCTAATTCATGGCCTGTTTTTCCTTAACAGCAGTTAAACAGTAAAACATTTACTATGTGAATGTGACCTGTGTTTGGCTGCAGGATTTCCCAGCTATGAGGCAATGGGTTGGCTACACTAGACATTGAGTGTGTAATGGAATGTGCACACAAAAGACCCTGTGCTTTGGATGAGGAACAGGAGGTGCTCTGGAGGGTAGAAGAATGTCTACTAAGATACAGACTTTCTAGACAAGGGTCCTGGCTACTGGGCTGGAAGGGCAGAGACTATGCTGTCTGAGTCATTTGATCTAAGATCACCCAGTAGGGAAGCAATTAATATTATTTTATAGCCCAACTGGGTTGCCCTAGCCAATGAGGGACTCTGGAGAGGCTTATCAATCAGGAGTACCAGCAGTAGGTAGCTTTCAGGTACTTTTTGGGATTCTCCTCTGCTTCCACTGTAGGGAATTGTAAGGAAGACCACAAGCCATGCCATGGTGAGTGTAGGGTAGTCACAGCAAGTCTGCTGTGCTGTCATTTCTGCTGGAATTTGGATGGATCATGAGCAAGACTGTGGTTCTGTTAGTCCATGTGGTGACCTGGCAGTGGCCTTTGTCCTCTGAGCCTTCCCGTGTCTGAACTTCCTGGGGAGGGGGGAGACTGCAGCCCTGGCATGGAAGGACATAATGCTGGTAATATCACTGTCTAGTGTGCACACAAGGGCACTGCTTTTGGTGTTCAGTGGGAAGACAGATTGGAAACTGATGGTCTGGCTTTTAGAAGTTCTGAATATGGCATTCATCTTCAGGTTTGTGTTATATATGTTACATATGGTTTAGAAAATGGTAGAGAGATGGTGATGTGGATCATCTTTAAGCAATATGTGTTTAGAATTCTCACTTTCTGCTGCAATGGTTTGCTACAGTGAAGTTTAGTTCTAGGGAACAAAAGGAGTTTCTGATCAGCAGAGATTT